TGAGACGATAAACTGTTGTTTTATAATAATGTTATTTTCAGGGCCTTCCGTTTATGATTTTGGCTCAAACTGGTGAACAATTTTCTCCAATTAAAATAATAGTTTTAAATACAAAACTATCGCAGAAACTATTTATGCCTTGCATTCATACTTTTAACCAGTGACTTTTGTTTTCCAAATTCAGTTGTTAGTTTGCAAAAGAAATGAGGAGGTAATTTCTTGTTCAGATAATAGTTTCTCTTGCCGATTTAAATTAAATACAAAAATCATTCTCTGTGACCCAAATATTTTGTGTAATTGTTTTTTCTTTGGCAGCCTAACATTTGGGACAAGAGCAACACCTTGAAACCCGATCTGAATTATTCACCAAGTTAAGATTTAAACGTTCCTGGGATGTATTTTCTTTGTTTTTCTATTTGGCAGCTTCATTGCTGTTAAATTTGGCTGACGAGTGTGTTTGGCATTTGATCATCCGCTGTAGGTTTGATGAGGATCCAAAATGTGGAACTGATGTCGGGCAGAAGTCACCTTGGTCCAAGAAAAAGTAACAATTTTCCTAATTTAAATTGTGTTTTACAATGTAACCAATTTCAACGTGGTGGTGGTGGTGGTGGTGCTAAAATTCTCAAAATGCAGACATGAAACTACAGCGCCTTGTAAAAGTAATCATGCGCCCTTAAACTTTTCCAGATTTTGTCCTGTTACAACCAAAAGCAGCTGTATTGTATTTGGACATAATGTGGAAAAAAACAAGACACAAAGTAATGCATAAGTTTAAAGCAGAAGGGCAATGATGAATGCTTGTCAAGATTCTTATGCACAAAAATTTGAAAAGTGTGGAGTGAGTTTTTGCTCAAGCCTCAGAGGTTTGTCAGAGAACACTAGTGAAGAAGTTTTTACCGTTACTGATACAGGATCAATATCATAGCACAACAGGCACAACAGATAGACAAGTATAATTAAAACAACAAAGCTTGTGTATAAAAAAGAGGTCTCACTTTAACATAAATCTGAGTGTGGTGCATTTGTTGTTAGAACATGACTTTCTTCATTCGGTGAATTCACCCATGACAGTGAGAAGATCCAGAAATAGTCAAACAAAGGAAAAAAGTACTGTGCAGTAAAACTACTCCTAAATGTATATTTTTTTTCCAAATCAGTAACTACCTCTGCAAGCAATATGTGAATGTCATGACAGCATAGAGTGACTGCAAAAGCACGGCTATGAAAAATACACCTACACTCTGTAAAAGGAGATTTTTATAATTAAAATAAGTTATTCGAAAGCAGAATACATAAAAGAGAAATTTTGTTTTTGACAGCCTCTCAAAACATTTCTCAACAAGCACATGATGAAACAGAAACCTCATAAGACAGCACTGTCACTCCGGCCAGATCTCTTGGCACGCCTTTGCGCATCCATGTAAAGTTTTCTACATCTGTCACCGTGTAACACACTATGCATGACAGAAAGCTCTGACAGTATGTCATGGTGGACGAGCCATTATGGGGTTGCTTTTCTTCAACAGGAACAGAAAACTGATCACAGTTAAAGGAAACAATCAAACACATTAATGTGTGACCGAATCAAAGTCCAGACATAAATCCAAAACACGTGGACACAGCATTTATCCTTTTCCCTCCACATAGCTACACTGTAAATATCTATTAAAAAGATACACAATATCTCAAATGTTTGTGGTTTTATTGTGGTAAATTGCCAAAAAAAAAAAAAAAAATAAAGAAAAATGAAAACTTTTGCAAGGTTTTTTATACTTCATTAAACTAACAGCTAAAAGCTGCTCCATATGACAGAGGAAGAAATCATACTGAGGAACAAACAGAATGAAACACCAAAGATACTTGTGACACTTGGCTTTGATCAAGTTGAATCAACATATTTGTCTGTCCCCAATCACTTGAATTAGACTTTATGACTAGGCTCATATTTTATAAATATTTAGTCTGGTTGTCTGTTCTGCTCTAATTTGACACACACACACACACACACACACACACACTAAAAAAAACTTTTTAATTTCCATGTTTGACAGTGGAAAAACAAGAAACAGGTTACAGGCAGGCGACTGAGCAGGACGACAACTAAAAGCTAAAATCAAACAGCTTCCATCCGTAGCACACTCTGGTTCCACCAAAGACAATAATTAACCGGTGACTCATTATTTTGCTGTTGAATAATACTAATTTGAAACTCGCAGGAAAAACAGAAGACAGAGGAAGTTATCTTCTGCTGCTGTGGTTAAAGTTTGTGGCTTGGAAATTTGAAACTTTTTATAAACTTACGTAAGAATCCAGGGGGGGGAGGAGGAAACTGGAAGCTGTTTTGGAAAAAATGATGGAATACTCACAGTTGTAAGCAATGATGATGAGACTGTAAGACTTTCTCTCCTCTCTGTCAGTGATCCGCCTGCGATCCACTCTGATGCTCTCGTCTCGTCTCCCTTGGCCCACAGAGGTGTTATGAAGACAGTCTTGTTTATCTGAGTACACCTTGAAGTACGTCTATAAGTGTAGTGGCTTTGAGAGCTGTGGTATCTTTAGACCTCCGCACACGCCCACCTCTGACTCTCCCTCTTTCTCACACACACGCACGCACGCACGCACACATACACACACACACACACACACACACACACACACACGTACACTCACTCTGCTATACAGCTGCTGCCAGATGTGTTACAGATCCCCATTTTCCTGATTTGCCTCTCACTCTTCTCTCCTTGTATTCATCACCTTTTTTCAGTTGCAGTTGAAGTAAGAGGCTTTAATTTTGCTGTGCGAAGTGATGAAAGTTCTGTAGTAATATAGTAGAGTACAGTTTCTTTTCACTAATGTCTGATTTACTTTAAGCATGTGCTGCTGACAATATTTTCTCCAAAGCTGGGATCAGCTTAACATAATGTAACTGCTGTTTTATTAGACATATGGAAAATAGTAGCTTCTTTTTGCAAGAGTGACCTGGGCATCTAATTTAATCTAAATTTAAACTATATCACTCAGCTGCAGGCTGATATATTTGGACCTTTTATTTACTGTTAAAGTTACACAAAAAATACATGGAGTCCCTTAAGGGACATTAAATAATGGAGTAAATAAAAAAGCTAATTTCTTGTGTGCCCCAGATAGTATCTGGTGTTTACCAGATCTTGTGCATACTAGATAACATCTGGTATGCATGAGAAAATGCATTCTTTTATTATTTTTATTCAATGTCCCTTTAGGGATATAGCAATGTTAAAAAAAATAGAGTTTCTTTTGTGTGCTTTCTGTGTATGAGACTGTCAAAAGTTGATTCAGTCTTTACTAGGTAATAAACTGAATCAAATTTAACCGAGTTGTACAAAAACATACAAGATGTTCAAATATGTCATAATTTACCAAAAAAAACAACATAAATGAAAACGAGTTGTATACATAAACACAATAAGGCCTTAGTAATTACATGAGGTTTAAGATAGAAAATTGCAGCCATGTGCTTTTAATACTAAAAGCACATGGCTGCAAGAATGCATTGGCAGTTTGCTGGTCTGGAGCACACAGGTGTGTGTGTTGACATAAAGCTACACACAAAAGAGATCAACAGAGACCTTAGAGAAGTAATCTACTGCAACTCAATCATGGAAAAGTAAAGATTTTCCCCTAAAATATTGAAAGTCTATCATTCTACTGTGAATCTTTCTTTTTTCTAAAAAAAAAAAAACATTTTAGTTTTCAAAGACAGAGGACAACATTTTAGACATCATCATTCTTCCTGGTTGAGGAGGTGTCAGCCAATTCAACTCAAAATCCAGCTGAACTACACAGCCTGCTACATTTGCTCCAGGTCTCCGTTTCTTATAAAACTAGATTTTTGCACTTGCACAATTTCAAATTAATGAATCAAGGATAGGGTTTATTATTGCTGCACATATGCAGTGACATTTTACTGTACTGTGACTGAGACTACAGTCTCTTGTCTTGAGAATGTGCAGTTACACACACCCAATGTGTAAGAAGACCAGCAAATCTGCTTAATAAAATTCACAAGCACATTTAAAAATCATTTACAGAGAGCAAGATGCAGGAGAAACCTAAATGTTGAAATTGAATAAAAAGTTTGTTCAACAATATATCAGTATAAAGGTGTGCACATTTATGTTACCAGCTTATTTCAGCTTTTTATTCTTATTTTGAGATTTCATTCCTAATAGAGTTGTTTGTTTTTAACTTAAACTTTCCCAGGTAGGCCACATTAAAGCCAAGAAATATTTTCAAATGATTCTTTTCCTGGACAAAAGCACCATCTTTTGACTGTGGTGTGTACACGTTTATGGTATCACCATTTTTTTTAAAATGCAGCAAATATTTTTATTCAAATGCATCTTTTAAAGAAGAGAGCTGCTTAATTTATTTCCCAAAAAGGGAGAGAGAGAAAAGAAGCAGAGGATAGGATCAATTGCATCAAATGTGTAATTGAAAAAAAAAAAGTGTTTTCCTGGCATCCAGATGTTTTTCCAGCTCACACGTCTGTTTTCACGCTGCAGCAGAGGTGAGGTCAGAGTTGGCCCGTTAGTGCCCCCAGAGAAAAATGTGGTGCAAAAGTCAAGCAGAGGGGAGAAAGAGGAGGAGGGAGGCCAGATGAAAAACAAGACCACCAAATGAACTTGGGCATGAAAACTGCTGCTGCTTATTTTCCAGCATCCCAAAACCTCACCAGAAAGCGACAGCAATGAAAGAACCTGGTTCATATTAACACAAGTAAAATTGCAACATCAAACACACAGAAGCTCTAACCATATGAACATACTCACGCAGTGATTCCTCCAACACTGTCTCACTGTGGTAGAAAGCCAACACTGCAATTCACCCCTAGAAACTGACTGGAATGCAGCAGCCAGAAACTCATCTTTATTTATTTTTATTTTTTTTTACCACAACTCAGAGCAGGTCACATCAGGAATCAGGCCTTTGTGTTTAATGCAAGCTGCCAGACATGGAAGGTCTCATTGCATTTGTGCTCTGGCCCTTTAATGTCCAGTTGAAGCAGGTTCCTTAAAAATGAAACATTCTTTTGAGGAAGTAGTGGTTTAGTTGCTGTCAGGAAACCCGTTGCTGTTTATTCACTGAGACAAAGAGAGAGGAGACATTTGGCGCAAACCCGTCCAGACGGCTGATAACTTCCCTGACATGGAAGCTCAATACTTCTGGCATCTGTCCCTTACTTTGGCTTGGATATTTCTATTTTCCTTCCCTTCTGTGTGCAAAGGAATGAATGGAATCGGTAAGACTGTGAAAATGCTTTCTCAATATTGCATAGGCCGATTCAGATCGCTACAGAAGTCTTGGCTGACGTCTTCCTCATCAAGTATGCTTTTGTTTAGTGTCAGATTAGTCACAATTACTTATTTTTAAATGTCTTCTAAGGTTTGTAAATGTCATAAAAATGTTTAAAAAAAATTGTTTCATGGGTCAGATTTTTTTTTTTATTAAAACCTATATTTCATATGATAAAATAATTCTTGTTTGGTGCTGTTTACAGTTTCTTATAAATATTTTTAAATAAATACTTTGTCAACCACAAACTTCAGGCATCTTTTTTGGAATTTGACTTGATAAAACAACATGAAAGTGCAAAATAAATAAATAAAAAAAGAAGGAAAGCTATTTCTAATTTTAAACATTATTTCAAAGTAAAAATGAGATGCCTAGCACACATTTTGATTCAGCTCTCTTTACTCTGATAATACTAAAAATATTGAATGCAACTAGTTGCTTCTCTAAATAAATACTTTCCACTTCTGCGTAACGTCATCGGTAACGCTTTATTTGACGGGTTGTGAATAAAACTGTCATGACACTGTCATAAACATGAAGTAACACCTGTCATGAACACGAGTAAGTCTTCATGAATATTTATGACTCTTGTCATAAAGTGGCATTTGGTAAATAATGACACTTTTAATACAAAGTTGACATGATTAAAAATGTCTTCGTTATGACAACTTGACATTAACCAAGAAATCATGATCTGACATAAATTTGTTATAAAAGTATTACTGATTAAACTTTAGCTTTAATAGCATAAAGCTACACAATTTTTCAAGTTTAATCAGTAATGCTTTTATGTGACATATCTAAACTGACAGGAGAGGCAAACAGAACATTAATCAGAAAAGAAGCCAAAAAGCTTTTGGTAACTCTGGAGGAGCTGCAGAGATCCACAGTTCATAGGATGACCTATTTGTGCACTCCATAAATACAGGCTTACTGCATGCAGTTTAGCTTAATCCATCTAGAAAACACAAATTCGTTTATCTCTGGTCAGAGGAAATTTAAAACTTAAGCTTCCCCACTTCACCATGAACACAGCATTCCACCAGCTTAGCATGGTGGTGGCAGCACCATGCCATGGGGGTGATTTTCTTTAGCAGGCGCAAGCAATTTTGTCACTGATAGTAGAGTTAAATACAGGGTGATCCTGTAAAGACTTGAAAATTGCATTTACAGACTCTTCTCTGTCTGTAAATCTGACTGAGATTCAGGTTTTATTTGTGAAATAAAATGGACAAAACTTTCATTCTCAAGATTTGCTAGACTATTCGAGGCATAACTCAGAAATATGCAGCCGTTTTGAGGTTGAACTTGGTTCTACCAACCATGGACATCAATTGTCTAAACCTTGCATTATGTTCTGCTACATCAGAATGCTACTTTGTGTTGCTCTGTCATGTAAAATCCCTATGAAATGCATTGAAAGTTGAGATTGAAACTTGTCCAAATGTGAGAATGTTCAGACGGCATGACGTATTTAGCATGAAGTACTTAGAAATGACCAACTAATTGATCAGAACCTTATTCATCTCTAACCTCATTATTTAGCAGTAACATGAACTTCTTTTATGTCTAAATTGCAGAGATAAAGCTGAACACCGCTGTGTTTGTGGCCTTCTCCGGTGAAGATCTCACAATTAATGGCACCATCCATAAAATGACCAACGAAACTTCAGAATATTTGAGATGCTACGACCCAAATGGACAACCGATATGCAACATTACGATCAACCCCACAGAAGGGGAACACCTACATCTGTATCTGAAAAACCTGAGCAGTTCAGGATTGTACCGTTGCAAATGTAATTCGGCTGAGGTGAAGTGGTTTATTCGGGTGACAGGTAAGCCTTAACAAAACATCAGGGTACACAGAGTTCCTCTCATCCACATACCTACATGAAGATGTTTGATTTTCCTCTGAATGTGACTCCAGCAAATATGATGTTAGTGAAACTTGTATTGCAAATGTTTGTAAAGCAAGCACAGAAGGGTTCAAGTTACAAACCAACGTAAATGTAGCCTTTGTTTTCCTTTTATGCAAAGACATAAACATGCATCTATTGTTTATACTACTGTATCGTGGTTTCCAACTGCCATCTAAGTTTCAAGAAGAAGAAGAAACAAGTAACCAACAACACATTGTCATTTAACAAGTGTATATTTAAAATATATAGTGAAATAAAATTTTCTTTCTCTTCTTTTTTGATTATTAAAGCTACCAGCATGCCAGTACACCAGATATATAGGGACAGTCATAGAAAACATAGCACTCTCTTTCATGCAGATGCACATGCTGGGTATGCAGCTGTAAATAATTGCCCCTCTTATCCAGCAGCTGAGCAATAGTAGCCAAACAGTGGCGGAGTTGTTTCTTAAAGTTACATCAACTGGATTTTCTGCCCAACTTCCATCTCTAAGCACATCACATTCCCTCAATCTGCCACAGGAGCCTTTATCAAAAGATCAAGCTAATTTTAGCCAGCATATGACCAGTTTTTAAATGTTTTTGTCGTCCTAAATAAACTCTAATCCTCAAAATACGGAAATGGTGTAAGGGTGTACACACTTTGTTTTTGTTTTTTTGCATGAAACCAGAAGGCAGATTCTCAGCCTGACTGTGTTGAGCACATTCTGTTTTTGAAAACAACCAGTTTCAAAATCCTTCACTGAAAAATGCCTTCAGTCAAAACTTGGTGACACCAGGGGCAACAGCTTCTTTGATCACAAATACCTTCCCACCAGATGGGGAATCTATAAGTCAACCTCTGCCATCCAGTGTTGCTGCATTCCAGCACAGACTGACCATGTGTGTTTTCCATCTAAAGCCTACAGGGAGCCCCAGAAGCCGGACTACACAGAGGTCTTCATGATGGCTGTCTTCACGGTCTTGCTGCTGGTCTTCAGTGTGTTTGCCTCTGTGTATGTCTTCAGAGGACATTGGGTAAGATTTAGGTTAAGAAGCAACACGTTGCAAGATGAAAGTGTTGCTTTTTGTCTCATATTGGGATGTTACAAAATCTGTACAGATTTTCCTGCATTTAGAAAGATACAAAAAAAAAAAAAAACATGGGGGTACACGCACACACGCAAGACACACACTCATATCTAACTTAGACACATCCAAATTTTTGAACGGTGGGAGGAAAACTGACTGAATCACAAGAGAAAACCCACACAAGCAAGAGGAGAACATGCAAACTCTATTTAGAAAAGCCCATTTTGGCCACAGCATTTTCATAGCACAAAGCAGCAATGTTAATAATGCAGCCCACGCAAAACAGAACAACTTCAATCAGTTGTACTTGTTCTCTATTCGACACTAGATTGGGATTAAGGTTAATGTTAGTGATGAGTTTATATGCTAAATAGACAATAAATAAGGTATAAGGTGTTTTTAACCTGCAACTGTAAAAAAAAAAAACATATACCCAAATTTATGTGCATGCACTGTAGCGTGCATACAGTCATGGATGTATGCAGACACATACATACATAAACATTTTAGAAGAATACTTCTTCTACATCTGTTTCATGTTAGCCTGTGACCAATAAACTTCTTTCCAATTAGAAAGAGACACAGTCTGGATCTCTGGCCACCAGCAGAACACAGAAGCAGAACACAGAAGAAAGGAAGGAGACAGGAAAAGAGGAAGACAACATGGACATGGCAGCAGCTCAGTCTTCTTCGTTCTATGCTGTAAGCATCAATTTTTTTCCCCATTCATCTCTTTTTGTTCTCCATCTGCCATGGTTTTATGAGTTTATTTTGGTTAATCATTCTTGAACTCGGACAGAGTCTGGAGGCTCGGCCCAGCTCTATTTATTTTGTGCTGGATCATTCAGCTACCAACAGTGACGAGAAGCGAGCAAACGCCCCAAAAAAGGTACTCTTTAGCAATCCTAAAATGTTTGATGTCAATAGTGAAATACTTAATGTCAACATAAAACCTATAACTGCTCCGTCTCCTGCTCTGTCCCCCACAGGCGGAGCAAATTGCCGAATACCAGGATGAAGGCATCTTTGAGTGTGTTTATGAGAACTTTTGAGTTAAATAAACTGGGTTTGACTGATTTTGCTTCATAGCACCGAGCTAAACATCAATGCTTTCCACTGTCAGATATTTCAAGAAAAGTAAAACCAAAAGAAAAAAAAAAAAAAAAAACATCCACAACAAATATTTCAATAAAACTGTGTAAATAATAAATAAACAAAAGTATTAAGAGTAACCTGTAAATGAAGATTCCTAGAGCTTGTGTCACATTGTTATACATCTGATATCTGGATTTAATAAATATTGCTGGATCAGTAACAGATATTTCATTTACTGTTGTTTTTGTGTTCTTGTGACATTTCATACACAGGGATGATGAGCAGATATTCACAGTTGTTTGCTTGTATTGTAGTGGTTTAGTTTGGGTGTTGTTGATATACTTGCACACATAGTATACCAACTATGGACAATATGTTTTATTCAATATATTGACACCTATTGGCACTGCCAGTCCCATTTAAAAATGCCTACAAACCAACATGACCAGCAGTCAGTAAGAAATGCAGAGCATGTCAGCTGTACCTAGTCATTTCTCCCATAGTATGATACAGATATTTATACTTAAATAAGTATCTTCAGTTACATACTAGTAACTTCATTTAACATCAAAGGTCTAATATAAAGTATTGATTTTGTGATTTTATGTTTGAAGGTAATCATCTAACTCCATTTGAGGCGAGCATCATGCATCTCTAAATATTTTTTTACTGGAATTTTTACTACTACTTAGGGCATATCATTCTTTAACATCTCAGAAGCAAACAAATTTTTGCTATTAAACTACGTCATTGTTATGTTGCCAAAACTAAGGAGCTACTTTCTACGTCAAACCAACATAAAGGAAGTATTCCAGTTTTGAGTGACAGTGGAGAAAACAAGAAGGAAAAAAGAGAAACTATTATAATCATGAGACGGTTAATTTAAATCATATAAACTGTTTAACCTGATATGATAATAAAAGCCTCTGTAACCACCGCCGAATATACATATTTTAAAGGCTGAATAATACCGTAATAACATTACCTGTTTAGACGCATCAGCTTAGAAGCACTGTTTTTGGACATTTCCTGTTGGGACACGCGCTACTCATTCGGCATACGCCAGCCAATGAAACCTTGAGAAGACCTTCAGTAAGCCAATCGCAAAGCTCCTGTCAGAATGATTTCCTGGTTTGGTTTGTTTAGCTGTGTCGATCATGGCTGCGGAAGGCGATTTTCTGGCGAGATACAGAGCTGTGTCAAATAAATTGAAGAAGTCAGTAAGACTTTAACTTACTTTGTTTCACTGAAAAGTTGAAAGGAATGACTAGACGACGTTAAGGACAATAACGTTTATTATCTTGACTGCTATATGTAGCATTGAAGGCTAATGCTAACAGTCAAAGCTAGCGGTCGCTGTCCGTTTCTGTCATTCTTTTTTTTTTTCCATTATCTGTGCAATACATGTGTTTGCTTATTTTTTTATTAACTTGACGTTAGCTTTGACGCTTAGTTAGTGGTCGTCGCTGGTTTGATTTCAGGAAAACATGCTCCCAAGCAGTTTATCGTTAGACACATCAACCACAAAAGAAATGTAATAGAAATGTCAGACTTCATAATGTTGAGGTGTAAGACCAAGAAGAATAACATGAATGTGACCAAATGCATTTTTCTTGCATAACAAGCGAGAAAAAAAAATCATTTAACCCTCACCCTGGTTGCTTATTTTTAACCTTAAAAATAAGATTGGACTAAAGAATGGAATACTAGTTTGTTAATGTAATCAAATATCTAAGCATTTGTTGATATTTCTGCTGACAGCCATGTAAGTTATTAAATTAATCCAAATGTGGATCAGTTATATAATAAACTAAAAGGAAAATAGATGTTGTTTCTGTTGCTTGATCTCTATCCCCATTACTCTCTGTGTTCTTATCTAAGAGGTAAGCTGTTGTCATGCTTAAAATTAATCAGTTTAATTTCACAATTTGTTTGCTGTTTTTGTTTTAAGAAACACTCTAAGGTAATAATATCACTCTCTGACTCCCTGAACTTTTGGGGTTTATTGAGGTATTTTATAGTGTTAATATTTCTGTGAAACATGTTTGTTTCCAGGTTTCAATAAATATATGCTGCATTAAAGTTGGGCTTCACAATATTAGAAAATCACATGCTTGTAATAACATTGGTAAACGTTAAGATGGCAACATCATTTGCTCTAAATCCCCGTATTTTTCACTCTTCTATTTCTAATCTGTGCTTCCAACATTGTGTGATGTGACCTGTATCATGTTTGGTATTGTAATCTGTGTCAGGTGTGAACATTTAACTGCATTGAGACTACATTCAGTAGGTTTATTGGCATGCAAAGTACGACCTCATTCCAAACAACCCTTTGCCTTATTGTTGTTGTGTGCACTGATATTAACATGTTGCTATATTTCATGTATCCCTAATCAAACTCTTAAGTCTTCATCACTGTCAGATTTAAGCCCTGTAACACATAACAGGTCAAAGATTAATCCAGAGCTTCACTTCAACTAATCATTTGATGTAAACGCTTCTGGTTTTGCTTTCTCATTGCAGACGTTTTCTCCGGAAGCCAAATGTAGCTGAAGCCAGTGAGCAGTTTGGTGAGTCAATCCGTATCCAGGATTGAAGATTATCTGCTGTTTATAACATTCGCTTCCATGAGATAGGTGTTTTTTTCACCTGCATAGCTTCTTAAAAATTAATCTTGTGCCATATTTATAATTAGTCCTTACATAGAAAACTTTTCTTTATGAGTAAGATTTCTCTTTCTTCTAGCAGTAATGTTTGCCAAAACTAAGCATAAACTTGTAACCTGCTGCTTTTAGAACTGCCTTTATATCAGAAAATGACTATTATGTGTCTTAACAAACGTCTATAAAAAGGCTCAAATAACTTAAGTCCCATTGAGTTAGTCTATTCTGTTTTTCTCTTCTACCAAGTTTCCTGGCCAAACAAAGATGTTCATCAGGAGGCTGTCAAGGCTTCAGCGGAGCAGTTACCTGAAACAGAAAATAGACAAAAAGAGGCATTCATGGTTGTCAAATTCTGTGTCTGCAGATTGTCAGGATATCAGAGACAGATTTATCTTCATGGCTACATAGGTTTTAATTGTAGCAACAGTTAAAGATTGAGATGGATCTAGTCAAACCATGAAGAACAGCTGAAAATCTGTCTCTTTGTGAGACAGTTTTGACTGATCCAATTTTATATCGTCTGGTTTCTTAGCAGCTTATAGCTGCCACAGAGCTGACAGGAAATAATGTTTACAATATTTAAGTAAAGAATAGAATAATTGTGCCATGGGTTGTTCATCATGACCCTAAAGACCAAACTGATCACAGGGCAACAGCAAAAGTAATTGTTAGCATAAAGGTACTACTGTTATATACAACAAACACGGCAGGTTAGTAGGGTTGGATGTTCCTGTAGAGGCATAAAAAAGACCAACAATGCACCAAATTCAGCATTAAAGTACAAAGAACAGTTTTAAAATGTGTTTGCTCAACATGGACAGAAAAAAAGCTTGCTTTAATTCTTCATCGTGTGTCTTTCCTTTCAGTTTAGCTGTCCTGATTTTCAGGATGAAGGTTGTGTGTATCCTGCACACGACCCTCATGTTTTTCCACAAATATCTTTAACAGCTCTGTTAGGGTGAGAAATGTCTGAACAGGACACCAGCGCTGTCACTTGGTCTGCCCCTGTGATAACGGGGAGCAGATGTTTTAGAACAGTTTCACTGTTTGCCTCTTCTGTTTCATTGTGTTTTTCCCTTCTGCATGCGTGCTTCCAGGTCAGCTGGCGAAGGAGCTGAAGCAGCAGGACTGTCTTCAGTATGCCGCCTTCTGTAACCTGGCCATGGCTCGGTGAGCACACACAGCTAAGGTTGAATTTTAATGTTGTTTGGACCTCCTTATGGTTATTTCAGTCTGCTGTTCATTTGGTTGTGATGGCGACAGAATGAGATATTTTGGGACGTTTTCTTCAGAGGGTTATATTGACGTATTGTTGATATTTGATGTTATTGGATTTGACAGGTTTATGTATTTGATACCCAGTATAATAATGCATCTACCTCCATATATTTGTCTACATCGTTACATGTTTTTAATTTTGTTTTACTACCTGGAGCAGTATTTGTGTCTCGGAGTGTTTGCTGTGTGAGCCAGCTGAGTTTGGCTCCAGTCTTTGGCTGACTCTAAGCTACTCTTTTGAAACAAACATGGCAGATAAAGCGTCTTACTGCTGCCAGATGAACCTGGTTTTAAATGTTCTAAGTTTTCTAAGTCTGAAGTGGATCCTAAAAACTAAGCGAAGTTATACTGAGGTAGATTTTGTTACGCAACAGCAATGTGCCATGTATGAGCAGCTACATGGGGGCTGATCAAAGCTGGCGGCTGCACTCAGGGGTTGGACGAGTTGTGTGTCTGCTACCTTCAAACTGTGGTAATTTTAGTCGAGACTATCCTACTCAGAATCTAAATACCAGGTATTAACAGCCTTGCTTCCAGCTGTCCATTTGTAATGAGCTTGCAAAATAGAAAGGTTAAAAAGTGCAAAGGTTCCAAACATTGGAGCGTTGAATTATAACATGACAGCATTATATTTGCTTTTATTGATTATTTTTTGTAAAACTGCAGCATAAATGAAAATGTAGCTCTGTTTTTTTCACTTGTAATTGGGGCTGTTTTACATAAATGATATTTGTACGACAATATAGTACTCTCATGCACACTTCTTATTTTTTTTTCAAACCTCTGTGTTTTGCGTTCTGACCCTCACCTATAGTCATAAGAAACATTACTAAAAGATGAGCTGACTGGACTCTGCATTAGAGACAAGCTGATATGCTCTATCTAGGGAACTTGTAGTAGAGCTGCTGCTTCTGTGCGTCGAAAAGATATTTTTTTGAAAGGTCTTGAAATCCCCCAGAATGAGCTGTGAAGCATCACTGGGGAGGAAGGATTTCTGAATTTTTCTCCTGAACCACCTATAACCTCGGCAACCAGATTTCAAATAAGCTGAGTTGGATGGATGTCTTGGATTTAAGATGCCAGTTGCATATGGACAGCACTCTCTACTGGAAGTACCTAAAATTGCAGTTTACTGTAAGAACTTGAGTCCAACATTATTGCTTGACTTTGCTGTAGCTCTAACTATGTAGATTCAGCTGCTTCAGTGAAAGTTTTCCTTAAAGATGCTTACAGAAAATTTTTATCACTTTGGAAAATAACGCTGGGTCACTGCACCATTTTTATTTTTTTTTTCAGCGACCAATAAATGTGACAATTTCAAAATGACTCAAATCACTTTTGCATTCAGCTCCATATATGTTTTTTTTATTTTTTTATTATTTATTTGTGTACAGGTGCGAGCAGACCCTGTTTAATGCTCCTGGAGAAGCGCTGGCCTTAACTGACGCTGCACGTCTCTTTCTGTCATCTGAGAAGGAGATCAGAGCCCTGCAGGCTCAGGGCTTCGACGAACACCTTCAAGCTGCCCTCAACTGCTACAGTTTTGCCATTAAGGTCGGCTGTGTAACAGCAGCAGAACTCCGTTCGGTGTAAAATCTGAAAACAGATGGGAGTCTGACTGCATTCTTGTGCTGTGACTGAATGCTGATGTGAAAATGTGTTACAGGTGTACATTGAGATGAACCAGCCTGTGATGGCAGCCAGCCTGTGTTTGGAACTTGGCAACGCGCTCAAGGTTTGATCGTTGCTTCCAGCTGTCCCGTATGATTAATGAAGAAGGTTTTCATTTTTGCTTTAAGGGTCACGTAAGCCACTTGGCGCATCAGTCTTTTCTCCATCCTTCTACAGGAGATGAACAGACCGGGAGAAGCGATCGTTCACTTCCAGAGGGCTGCGGAGTTACAGGCGCAGACGCCTATAGAAGCTCTGCTGTCCATGGGAGAGATCGCCACGTGTAAAATCCTCACACGTGAGTTGCGTGCGCTCATTCGAATGAGATCATGTCGTTTGCGGTACGTCGGGCTCAATTCCAGATGTTTGACTCTGTATTCAACTCCTCTGATTTGCAGGTGACTATGACGGTGCTTTGTCGGTGTTCACAGAGATGCAGCTGATGTGTCAGGAGAGAGGACTGCAGCTGCCAGGCACCACAAGCCCTATTGGTGAGGCTCCGACCAGAGCCTACTGGTCACCATTCTCAGATGCTCAGACTTTTGTATTGTTCTATGTTGTCTCTAGTGTTGTTTATTCCTGTGATTGAACTGAAAAAGCTGACCAGTTTCTTTTGTTTCAATCAAAAGGCGCCTTTCTGGACATTGTAGCAAAATGTGAGATATCTAGAGTTCTGCTGCTGATGTTACTTGAGGTAAGCTTCGAGAAAAAAAATTGCTATTGTTATGTAAAGACACTTCTGACATGTTTTTGCGCCAAACACTAGGGCCTTCTAAAAGTATTCACACACATGCAAGTCTTTCACAATGCATAAGCAATCATACATTTCAGTCTGATAATTAAATTTTCCAAGTACAAAACAAACTTGCGCAAATTTGTGAGGTGAAATGAAACTGAGACATTGTTTTCAAAAGTGTGGTGTGAATTTTTAGTCAGCCTTCCTGAGTCCGTGCTTTGTAGAACCGCCTTCTGCTGCAGAAGATGGTTCTATGAAGGCAGTGTTTATACCAGATTTGCATGTAAAGAGAGTGAAATTTTTGCCTATTCATCTTTGAAAATACATCAAGGTCAGTTATCCTGCAATTAATTTACAAATAAACGACCCTTAACCGTTAAAGCTCTAAAAGAGCAAAGCATTTTCAGGCATTAAAACAGCTCAACTGCTGCAGGTCATCACATTTTAATGGAACTGCCTCAGTGTGTGTGTGTTTCTTTGCAGCCTCCACCTCAGAAGTTACTACCAGAACATGCCCAGACCCTGGAGAGGTACGCATGGGAGTCCTTTGACCCTCACAGCCAAGGTAGGCACTCCTTAATACTTAACTGTTTGGGAGAGTTGGAGGGGAAAAAGTGAACGATTTTAGTTCCCGTCAAACTCTGAGCATGAATCAGGCGAATGACCCTGGCAGTGGTGTAAATATGAATGCTGTTTGCTCTTTCAGTGACCTTCCTGCCTGAGAATATGTTCCTGCTTCTGCAGTCTGTAGTGGTGAGTTTTGTGATACGTGCACTTGGCCAAGTCAAAAGGTTCCTGACCTTTTCCGCCTCGCACACAGAAGTTGTTTTTCGTAGCCTCTACATGACAGTGATTAATGTTTTGGTTGCATTTCCCCCTTTGGCAGCATAATTACTCTTCTCTATTTGGCACCTATGTTGCTAGACTTTTCATAGTATCTTTCAGGTTCTCGCAGTTAATATTTTGTGTTTTTTATTTGTACAACCACACAGTAGTTTATTAGAGTTTTATCAGCTCAACATGATGGTGAAGTGGAAGTAAAATGACAGAAGGTTGTTTTTTTTTCCTCTTAGCAGTGAAGGTTCATCCTCCGGCAGGAAAAAGACTCTAAATATAAAGCTAGAGAGCTGGGCAATAAGTCAATAACAATAGCTGCTGCAATAGACATGCAATTAATATCAATAAAAAATATGTCCAACAGAATGTTCAATAATTTCACTTAACTGTGTTCCAGAACCACAGAGCATTCTGGGGGATGTAGGCAAAGGAAAGGCTTTATCCACTCAAGCTCTCACGGTCAGCTAAGCAACGTTGGTGGTATCAACTAACTCACTCGCTCTTTGGTTGCCTAGCAGCAACCTGTTGAGTAACTTGCGCAGCAGTAGTTTCAGGTTTTGCCAAAGTAACTCACAAATACTTGATAAAAAACAGTGTGGAGCGAAAGGAGAAAATTAGTACAGCAACTGTGGATAAAACAGGAAAGGAAAGGAAAGTTTGGCTGTATTTCAGATTTTTAAAATAATTTTTTAAAAAATGTATGAAACAGTATTGATATTGACTGATATGAAAGCCTTATATTGTGGCAAATTTTCAACCGACCCTAAGTTATAGTAGAAAGACTGATCAAAGTATAAATACGTCTTTTACTGGCCTACACCTAAATATATTGACGGTGTTGGTTTGCAGCTGTAATTACACCAAAAGGTGCTCGTACTTCTACAAAGTACTAAATTAGGCAGCAGAATAGTGAATGCATGTCACTCTTTTTCAGGGTTTAATTTGTAAATAAAAAAAGTGTTTTTCCTTCCACTTCTCAATTATGCATTACTGTGTGCCAGTCTGTCTCAAAAATCTCCCCAAAATTCCCAATGAAATAGACCTTTGCAATGTGACAAGAAGTGGAAAACGTTCAAGCTGCTTGACTAATACAGCAAGGCTCTGCATAAGTCGAATACCTTTAATAAAATAAGAGTTTCTGTTGTTGTTATGCTGCCTAAGCTCATGTTACGAGGCAGTAAACATAAAAATATGAGACGCTAACAAGCTCATTTGAATCTGTAGTTGTGTTTTTATTAGTGCGGTGTCTAACAGCAGATCTGTTCTGCAGATGGCGTGTCAGGAGAAAGACACAGAGTCCCTCAAGTCCTTGCAGACTGAGCTGTGGTGAGCACTCATAAATGTCTCTTTCCATCATGTGATCTGCACAGAGAAGCATTTCCAGGCTTCGCCATCATTTTCCAATATTGATCACATGTTTTTGTGGCTCTTCTCTCTGCAGGCCCTTTCTGACGGCAGAGCAGAATCACCTGCTCCACCTGGTGGTTCTGGAGCGAATTGCACCGTCTGGTCAAGGGATTTAGCACAGCCTGGCTTTTACTCACTTCCTCTGGGAACAATACTGTGTGTAATGGAATATTCCCGTTTCTGAGCGGTCTGTTGTAAGACCCGAAGAAGGGTTGTTTTCACGGTTTAGGAACTCTGGTAGAGACATTTTTTTTATGTTTTATTCACTCATTTCAACCTGGACCAATTCTTATACAATGTAAAAGTGAGGTTGTTTGAGGTAAAACACAGCTTCTGTTTGTTTTAATTGACTTTATTAGTAAAAGACATGGCTTAGATTCCAATGTAAATACAAACAAATTGTCTAATGCATAGTTCTGTTAAATGGTAAAACGTAACACTTCCGCTCTTCATCCCTGGATCGTTTTAAGGTTCACTTGTACAAACGTACTTTACATAAGATAGCAGCCGACTACAGACGGAAAACAAAACATAGCTTAAAAAAATACACTCAACACAAAATGCTACAAAAATATAATTGGTTACATTGTACATAGACGTAGAAGGTATATACCATACTTGTAAAATAATGAGAAACGATTAAATGTAATGTGAAGTAAGGCTTTTGTTTCAAGAGTGTTCATTGTTATTGCTGTTTAGGCAAGTCGCTGTACCCTCTCAGATACAGGGCAGTAGTAACCATCAGCCTCACGACACAATTTCCTCACATGATGGATTCACTCGACATATCTTTCTAAAATACAGTATATCCCAGGAGCTTCTTCTGAAGGTGCTCATCTTTTCACATCAGAACTTTGTTAGAAACTTTAGTTTTTAGCTCAGCAACAGAAAAGATGAATGATCCAACGCTCATGTCTTAGGACGTCAGCAACCGTTGTAGAATAAAACCTGGACATAAGCTGCAATTCTGATCAGAGGTTAGATCTACTCATTACAGGAGTAAGTTTCATATAATTTTTTTTTCTTTTCCTTTTTTTTTTCCCCCAGGACAGGATGATGCTTCATGTAGCTTCAGGAATTTTTAAAAGACAAGAATCTGATGCACGAGTTTGAATAAACACTCAAAAATAAATATGCACCCTCACTGACCTTTTGGTATAATTCTGGCTGGATACTTCTTATCAAAATGGTTCATTCAAATTAGTTGGTTTTCAGGAAGAGCCCCATCTTTTAAGCACAGAACACACATTTCCAATTGGGTTACGGATTCCCAGGACCTTATTTTCTCATCCTGCTTTATCCGTTCCGAAATAAAAAAATTGAGCATTTAGGTGTAGGACGGATTAGCGAAAATTCACAACAAATTCAAAATTGTTTCCATTTTTGCTTAACATAGAAATTAGCTCAGCAACCTGAAAATTGGGGAATACTGAATGCCTGCCAATGAGGAGTGTGTGAACAGTTCTGACTGGATCTGTACCACTCGCAAATTAAACTTGCATGATCCGATCAGACATGAGCGCGGCGGAAATCTAGTCAGTACAGTCAGAAGAACAGCAAGTGACATTTCACACAAACTTTAAAATACTGATAACGTCTGGACTGAGTTCCCAGACCTACAAGTAGCTACATCGCAGAGATAAATGATTAATTAGTTAAGGTTACACAGATGAAAGCTCCTTATCTTACCCACTTACAGACCCACTCTCCAACTCCAACTTGTTAAGATCAAATCAAGAGTATTGGCTCGTTAGCATTCCAACATATTCCTAACCGAGGATGAAGCTGACAAGTCTTGAAATGACTGAAAGGACAAAGGAGCACAGACTCCGACCTCCTCCGATTCAGTCATTCCTCTTCCGCAGGACGATGTAGGTGATGGTGAGGAAGAGAGTGAGGACGAAGGAGATCCACGCCAGGATGTAGCTGTGCCCGTACCCTCCTTTTTTCTCAGTGGTGTGAAGCTGCGCTGTGTAGATCGAGGCTGCGGTCATTATGCACAGGCCTGCAGGAGAGGAGGAAGGAAGGAAATGGGGAGTGATGATGCACAGAGATGAGATTTTTTAGAAGTAGTCATGTTTTCTCTGAAAAGGAAAAAAGTCAACAGCGGCAAGATTGTTAAAGAGGACTTGTGTACAGCTCCAGGCCATTCAGTTCAAACAGTAAAACCATTAATGTAAGGTAGATCCTGATATATTTCAAACTTTTATTTCTGTTCATTACGATGATTATTATAAGTAGGGGTTAGCAATATACTTTGTGTTATTATACCCATACATACCCATTTGTAATGCGCTTCTTTAGGACACAAGTCACACACAAAAAAGTGTGTGTGACTAAATTAAGAATCTGATGATTAGTGATTTAAATCACTAATCTGCACACAGTAATTACATCTAGTTATATTTTGAAATTTATTGATATTTATTGACACTCTCAATGCTAAAAACAGTGGAGAAAATAGTAAACCTAACAATCCCAACAATACAGAGAGTTTGGGGCTATTTTAAGCATCATTAGTTTGAATTTATTTTGACAACGCTAAATCAACATTCTTATCGTGATTTTTAAAAAAATGATCGCTGTAAATGATAAGCAAAGCCAAACCCTAACTACAAGACCGAGGTTCTCACAATGTTACAATCTTACATCAGACCAGTAAATACCAGCTATTTCAAGATGTCGGCCTACAGGAAAGCATATCCATCTTCTTGGTTCTTGGTCTGGCTGCACTGACCTTAGACCTCTGGAAAACCCTCTGGCTTAACAGAAGGAATGTAAAAAGCTGTTTTCTGAACGCTTCTCTTTGTGCTGGCTTTTGAAACGCTGACTCTTCCACCAGTCCACATTGCAGCAATCTACCTCAAGCCTTTGAACAGACTGTGGTTATCCCTGTTACTGGTGCAGATTTTCCTAGCACACGTTTTCCTTCCACTCAGCTTTCAATTATCATGCCTGGATAAAGCACTCTGTGACGAGCAAGCTTTTTTTTTTTTTTTACAAATGACCTCTTGTGGCGGTTCGTCCTCAAGGAAGATGTCGGTAACTATTTCTTGGTCAGCTGTGAAGCCATCAGGTGTCCATATAGTTGCCTGCTGATTACTGATTGTTTATTTCCTTCAACAATCTGGGCCAACACGATCCGTTAGAAGTAGGAACTGCCACCAAAACATCTAAAAGGATCACACCGATTATAGTCATGTTTAAAATGCATGCCATATTCAAGTATTTTTGATGTGGTTACTCAATGCATTGCAGTACATGGCTGTGCACTAAAAAAACAAATAAATAAATAAAACCTCTGGAGGCTTCCAGGATGGGAAAATCCAATTGTTTTGAGTCGTGACTGAAGCAACAAAGCTTTGGAGCCTTGAATAATGTAACATCCCAGGCATTCTCAGCTCACTGGCAGCTGTTTGGTGAGTTACGCTTCAACTAAATCTTTGCTTTTGAGTTGAAAAAAAGGAACACGTTAAGACACGATCTTTTTTTACACTCAGTGATTTCGAACGTCGTTCTTCTCTATTGTTTATTGTTGCTACATTGTCATGCTTTCACACAATAAAGCAAACACGGTCACAGCATTTGAGGACGTCACTCTTACTTTAAAACGCCTTAAATGTTTTACTTTCTCACTTCCTGTGAGATGAAAATAGACGAGTTCATGATTCCTAAAAGTCGATGATGTTTCTGTGTATTACCACCTGGTCAAATTCTTTAGTCGAACAGAAACATGAGTCTGAAACTGACCCACCCTTCTGTATCCCCCACTGGGGATTGTATAGACATTGGAGGAGTCTTTGGGTGTTGCCTGAGATAAAAAAAAAAATAAAATAAAAAAAAATCCTAACCATTGTCTGATGCATATGTGCATCAGACAAAATAGTCTTAAAACATACCGAAAGGACTGAGACAAGTTGAATTTACGAGGATCTTGTTAATGAGTCTACAGTTAAAAGAGCTGAGTGAGCTGGCAGATCGACAGAAAACGCGGCCCAGCCAAAGGCACCGACAGCTGAAACAATGGAAAGGACGATAAAACTCCTGGAAGATATCTGAACAGTGATTGTTCCCAGATAGATGAATCTCCCATCTTGTTTGTAGGAACAAACAAGTTGGGAACAAACTGCTAGGCGTCAGAATGGGCCAGGGTGAAAGGTTTTCCCAGCAACTCGTCTGGCTATAAAAGGGACAGGCTCTTTCACATTTTGGCATTTTACAAACACAAACTTCAAAGTATGTCATTTAGGTTTTATGTGATACAACAACACAGCTTTGGACACATTTTTTAAATAAAAGAAAATTAGTTAATACTTTGCCACATGACCTGTTCCCTCAACTACAGCTGTGATTCTTTTAGGGTATGTCTCTACCAGCTTTGAACATGTACAGACGTGAATTTTTACCCATTCTTCTTTGCAAAATTGTAGAAGCTTTGTCAGATTTGGTGGAGAACATCAAGCATTAAATTCTAAGTCTTGCCACAGATTCTCAACTGGATTTTGATCCTGACTTTGACTGGGTCACTCCAACACATGAATGAACTTCTTGGTGTTTGTCAGGGGGTTGTAGTTCTACTCGAAGCTAAATCTCTGACTAGTCTCGAATCTTTAGCAGCCAGGCGTGCTGTATATTTAGCTCCATTCTTTTACCAATCCGCTCTAACCAACTTTCCTGTCTCTGTTCAACACCAGCTTCCCTTAGCATGATGCCACCACCACTATGTTTCACATGGGGATGCTGTTTTCAGGAGTATATTGTTAGTTGTCTGTCACTGTGTTCACTTGTGTTCTCTAACAAACCTGTTGGGCCTTCGTGAAACAGCTAGATTTAAACTGAGATTAAATTACACACACGGACTGTTTGCCAATTACGTGACTTTTGCAGGCAGTTCATTGCACTGGATTTTATTTTAGGGTGTCAGTGTGAAGGAAACTGAATAAGAATGCAAGTCATGGTTTTAGATGTTAAATTGTAAAAAAAATATATTTTATGCTACTCTGTGTGGCTCTATCACATAAAAACCAAAAATGTGAAAAAGTATTTATAACACACTGTATGCTGCGCCAAAACTACTGTTGCGGTCAGCTGTAAGTATGAAGGACCAGGAAGAAAAGTGCTCACAATTTATAACTTAATAACAATCTACATAATGAGCAAACATAAGCTGTCATTTACAGCTTAGGATTTGCATCTCATTTGAGCTGATCTGTGTATGGAAGCTCAAGCATCACATGTTTTCTCTGACCTTTAAAACATGATCTCAAACAAGTTGTTATTCATTTTTAGTCATTTAGCCTTATGGCTAAATGACTAAATAATAATGCATTTTTTTGTAATGCTACAAAATCTCATATTTATTTCTGCTTGAATGTTTTATTTTTTTTCAACCGTCTGCATCGTTCCGTTCCGAAGGCATCGAGGTTTAATGGCATTATTGACCTCGGTCAGCCAAGCATGTGGCATCCGTAAGAAACAAAATCCAGCGATATGAAACAGGGACATGAATCAATATCTCTCACAGCAGCACTCTGCATTTGACTCTAGGTTACTTACAAGCGATTAGCTGTAAAATGCCAGTGAAGATGAACCTCTGCCCTTTGGGCAGGGTAAACAGCTGAGCCACGAACACAAACAGGGCCAGGATGGTGAAAACGCAGG